GGACTAGAAGACCTCCATGGTCCCTTCCAGCTCTATCCTGATTCAATATTCTAACACAAAATAGTTGCCTCCATAGAAAAGAGATATTGGAGATGTTCGGGTTGCTTAGTTGACTTTGGCTGATCTCAAAAAGTCTAAGCTGGGTTGATCTCTTTAGGATTCGGATGAGAGGCCACCAACAAAGTTCAGGACATCAGGTTGGACAGGGAATTCGACACTTCCAACAGTTACACACACACACACACACACACACACACACACACACACACACACTGTGTACACAAAAGTATAATCTTGAAAGATTTTTGTAGTATTGCCAGGAAAATAGCATGGAGTCACGCTGAACTCAAAGGAGATTTTATTTTGTATTGACTAATTATTGGGCTGAGAATCACAATTTTAAACATGGAATAGTGCTCTGAACAAATACAAATTTGCATTTGTTCGGAGTTACAAGTCCAGAGCTTAATGTGGTAAACTTAAAGAGAATGACTGGACCAAACTCACCCAACTGCTTTCCTGGCTAAGCGGGGAACTAGAACTCACAGCCTCCTAGTTTCTATCCTGGCACCTTAGCTACAAGACCAAACTCACTCTCAAAGGTGTTCAATTATTTGATGGTATTTTGACAGTCTGTTTTAAGCTCATCTAAAGAATTAACATTTTCAAACTAGGTTTCTGGTTTTGTGTGTTCGTGTGCAGCAGGTTTTGGGTGGAGTATGCTTCATTTTGTTTTGTAAATAATTGCACACCATTTGAAAGTGTTCTGGAGAATCTAGAATATGTTGGGGAAACTCTTAAAGAAATGCATCCTATTCCTTCCATACATTTTTATCCTCTTGTATCGGCAGAATGCTAAAGCCAGAAATAAGCCCAATGGGAGAAATAAACAGGAGGCAAGAAAAAATTAAGACATTCTCCTTTGAGCCACAAAGTCCTCTTTGTAAATGTCAATATTATATTATTCTTACTCTGAAAGCAGAGTTTAGAAGATATGTTTGTTAAGCTAGCCAAAGTCAGTGAAGCACCTAATAAAATCATATATATCTGATATATATTTTTGCTGGTTTCTAAGCTACTTCCATATGAGGTACAAAAGTAACTAAACATGGGTGCAACAGTGTGAGCCATCCTTGATAATTTAGCCAACTTCTTTGCTTTTACATGTTTTTCCTACACAAAGCACTGTACTTCTTGCCAATGGTGGACTGCAAATTTTTAACAAACACCCCCCCCCCCCGCCCCCGATTTGATGGATGGGACAAATTCCTTGGAAGAGTTAGTTAGGTTAGTTTCAACTAATTTAAACATCCGTCAGGGAAAGGGTGACCTTGAAATAACTCTGAACCTTTTATAAAGGGATAGCAGAGGCAGAACGACTGGCGGAGAGTGATTCATGGCTGAAACATCCTTGTGTGAGCTACCCTCTGTCTAGACTGTTCCAAGTTTCTTTCAGATGTTGCTCTGAGAATTAAAATCTGACCCTGGAAAAACTGATGACTGCAAAAACTATCCCAAATATTCCGTGTCACCTCCTCCTCCAGGCGCTGAGCTATCCTTGTTAAGACAACTACTGGAATTAAAAAGAAAGAAAAGGCTTCACACTCATTCAAGAGAAGCTACACAGCATTCCATCTCTACTTGCTGGTGTGTGTTTTTTTTAAAATACTGGATCTCAAAAGATGCATGTTGGAAACATGAGACATTAGCACAAATCTTGAGTGGTAATTTTTCTGTGAACCCACGCATAGTCCTTTTTTTAAGCAGAAAGAAAACTGCTACACAAAGTGGAACAGATGGAAACCTATCCAGGAGAAAAGGAATCTGGAATTAAGGAGGAACTTCCTAACGGTGAGGACAATTAACCGGTTCAACAGCTTGCCTTCTGGAGTTATGGATGCTCCATCACTGGAGGTTTTTAAGGAGGGACCGGACAACCATTTATCTTGAGTTGGCTAGATGTATTGCTTGAGTTGGCTAGATGACCTCCAAGGTCCCTTACAACTCTTGGTATTCTGTTATTGAACTCAATCAAATTGAATGACAGGGCTGGAAGGCATCTTGGAGGTCTTCTAGTCAGTGGTGGAATTCAATTTTTTTTTACTACCGGTTCTGTGGGCGTGTCTTGGTTTTTTTTTAACAACCCCTCAGATTTGGTGATGGGACAAATTCCTTGGAAGAGTTAGTTAGGTTAGTTTGTGACCTTGAAATAAGGTCAAGTTAGGAAGAGTTAGTTAGGTTAGTTTGTGACCTTGAAATAAAAGTGACCTTGAAATAAGGTCATGTCTTCGTAGGCGTGTCTTGGTGGGCATGGCAAGGGAAGCTTACTGCAAAATCCCCGTTCCCTCCCCACACCCACTAACCTGCTTTCCAGCTCCGTTTTCCTGTGCAGGGCAACAAAAGAAGACCCAGCCAATCAGCTGGGACTCGGGAGGCAGAGAATAGATGGGGGCGGGGCCAGTCAGAGGTGGGATTTGCTGGTTCTCTGAACTACTTAAAATTTCGACTTCTGGTTCTCCACAACCGGTCAGAATCTGCTGAATACCACCTCTGATTATGGGAAGGGAAACGAGATAATTTTTGGCTTTCACTAGATTCTAGGCACCACCTGATTTGATTATTATTGTTATTTAAAGTTAATTTGAAAAAATAACTAATGAGTTTATTGCAGAGTGCTAGCCCCTACTATCCTTTATATTTACAAGAAAGTTTCTGTACCCAATAGGCATTTCTAGAAATTAATTAAATTAAAGGGATGTCTCCAATCTCATGTTTTCCTAAAAACATCCCTACCTTTCCAGAAAAGAAGGCATAGTACAAGGGTACACAGTGTTCCAAATGTGTTTACTTCTCCCCAAAGGAAGCCTTAATTAATGTGATGAATGCCTTAATTAATGCATTAATTAAAATAATTAATTACAGATAGCCCTCAACTTACAACCATTCATCTAACAATTGCTAGAAATTACAACAGCACTGAAAAAAGTGACTTATGACCATTCTCACACTTACTTATTAGCTGCGGTGGCGCAGTGGTGAGAGTGCAGTACTGCAGGCTACTTCTGCTGACTGCCAGCTGACTGCAATTTGGCAGTTCGAATCTGACCAGGTTCAAGGTTGACTCAGCCTTCCATCCTTCCGAGGTCAATAAAATGAAGACCCAGACTGTTAGAGGCAATAGGCTGATTCTGTAAACCACTTAGTGAGGGCTGTAAAGCACTATAAAATGGTATGTAAGTCTAAGTGCTATTGCTACTGCTACAATCCTTGCAGCATCCCCACGGCCATGTGATCAACATTTGGGCCCTTGGCAATTGGTATGTATGACTGTTGCAACATCCGGGTGTAGGGGATCACAATTTATGGACCTTCACGCAAACCAAGTAAATGGGGGAAGCTGGATCTGCGTAACAACCCTTGCAAAAAAGGTTCTAAACTCAGATGCAACTCAGGTGAACAACCACCTGGCTTAGGGGTGGAAATTTATTTGTCCCAATTGGGTTTATAAATCGAGAACCACCTGTATATCACATATAAGGTTCGACATTGCAATGCTAGCATCTCCAAGAAAAGTAAGGTCCTTTTTGAACACTTGGCAAACTTCCATAGAAGGGGTACAGTGCAATCTCTATTCAACCTCGACATATTCTGCATTCTTCCATGATTACTTCAGGGCTGCCATAAAAAGAAGCTGGATTTTTTTCTGTTGTCTGATCGAAAGAGCTAATCCTACTTATCTGCTTTAGAAAATGGCAATGATTTCAAGAATTCCTGTATGGAGAGACTTGATCCCTCTGTGGAAAGTGGAAGGCAGAGATTCCACACCAGTCAATATCTTTGACATTGCATTACATCCATCAAACCTCAGATCACAAAAGATGTGGATTAAATGACGGGAGCAAGCATCAAAAATTAATTCTTTAACAATCAAATTCTCTAAAACACAAGTCCGATACTGAAGTTAATTTAACCAGGACGCCATTTATGAATTATAGTTATGTGGATAGACTTGGAAGACATCCAAAGTTAGGCTTTAGCTCTTAATTGTTAATTCAGATTGAAGGTCTTTGTTATGTCGGCTGCTCTTCTTCTTTTTGTCTCTTTAGCTCTTCTATTTTGTTACCTGCTACCGTGTTTCTCATATAATAAGGCCGGGTCTTTTTTTTTTTTTGAGCCCCGAAAAAATGGCTAGGCCGTCTTTTCGGGGGTGACTTAATTCCCCCCCCCCCTGCATCTTCAGGCAGGCGGGTGGTGACGGCTTGGATGTTGACCTCGGCATTGGTGGGGAACTTTGTATCAGGGTCAGCGCAGGCAGCACCATATCCGGGTGTGCAACAAAAGTACTTCCTAATGGCAAGCCCCCCCCACCGCCATTTCCCCCCATTTCGCATGTTTTAATATAGGCCTTAATTTGGGGGGAGGGGCTTAATTTCATTTCATGCCTATAAAACATGGTGGGACTTCCTATTGGGGGAGGCCGTATTGTTGGAGAAACAGGGTATTTTTCTTGGTCGGACTTTCAGGTGATCAAATTTGGAATATAGTAAAATACAATAAAAGCAGAACATACAATTGATGCATCTTTGTGCTTCTTGTTGACCAAGTTTTGGACTTGATTCTCTGCAGCCAAAGGCTGTTCCTGGGCGAGTTTTTCTCCAGCCCAGAAGGTAACCAGGACATTGGGGGCAAAGTTGGTGCTAATAAAGGGACTCCTACTGATTATCTGACTGTGTTGCCTTTGTGCCACGCCCCGAGTCATCACACCCCTTCTCTAACCCAACAAAACTCCATGGATGTATCTAGATACTTTCCAGGGATCCAGCTTCCTTGGAGTGAGATTCAAGTTTTTGTGTGCAAAAGGTAAGCAGTCCCATTGAAAAGCTTTTTACCACAACGCAGCTGCCGAAACTGGCCAATTGCACTGAATGGAGAAGTTGCCAGTTTCAGCAAAGGTACCAACGATCCAATGGCAAACTCTTTTAACTCCCAACTTTGCTTACCTCTATTTGATTGAGCAGAGGGTCCTCAAACCTGAAGCCGGGGATCCTCTTTTCACTGCAGAGCACGCTCACATCCTCGGTGTGCTTGCAGTCTGACACACCCCATCCGTTGGAGGTACATTGAGCTATTGACGACTCTCTGCCAGTGCAGTAGAGGTTGTCCAACCAGATGGGGCCTACAGAGAAAGAGGGGCGAAAGTTCTCTTTTAGGAGGTCCAGTCTCCACTTTGTACAGCAGAAAGAATTTCATAAGATTGAGCTCTCCACCCTATAGCAATGTACAACCTCTTTGAAGCTGACTCCTTTAGGAAGAGGAATAGAAAAGGCTAACCAATGGAAAGGAACCATGAGGCCACACAGTTAAGCATTTGTGATGACCCAGGGTGGGATACAAAACAAACACAGTCACAGAAAACAGGTGAAGCCCCTCTTATTCCTTCACATTGCTTCCAAGCTCCGAATATCCCTGATAGAAGACAAAAAACTCCCACACAAACAGTTACAAGAAGAAGGGAAAAAGCAGCACAAACCAGGCAAGATAAGGGCTGGAGGATGTCCACAGATAACAGAACACACACTGGGAAGGACGCCAAACTCAGACAGGAACCATAAACTAGAGATATTCCCATGCTTTGTTTCCAGCATTCGTCTGTATGCATGTTCATCCTCTTATGCAGTTGTCACAGCTGCAGCCCATGAAGAGGATCAAAGCCCTCTCCTCCCGAGTAGACCACGTCTCTCCCTTATCCTCTCCTCCCAGCATGCCCTAGGGTGGATAGGGATGGGCCTGCTCCTGCTCTAACTGCTCAGCCGGCCTCTGTCCTTTTCCAGCCTCCTCCTCCTCCTCCAGAGCCACACTTCCACTCCTTGTTGGCTGTTCCTCCTCCCCCTCAGAGTCAGTCTCCACCAGGGGCATGACACATTAGAGATTATACCTTTATGTAACATTTGAAAAATATTGTTGAACTCCTGTCTTTTGTCTTCTTTTTAAATGCCCCTCTTCCTGATGTCAGCCAGACAAGAAGCGCACCCAGGAACAGAACAGAATAACGAAGTTGGAAGGGACCTTGGAGGTCTTCTAGTCCAACCCCCTGCTTAGGCAGGAAACTCTACACTACTTCAGACAAATGGTTATCCAATCTCTTCTTAAAAACTTCCAGTGTTGGAGCATTTACAACTTCTGGAGACAAATTGTTCCACTGATTAATTGTTCTAACTGTCAGAGAAAATTCTCCTTAGTTCTAGGTTGCTTCTCTCCTTGGTTAATTTCCATCCATTGCTTCTTGTCCTGCCTTCAGGGGCTTTGGAGAATAACTTGACTGCCTCTTCTTTGTGGCAGCCCCTGAGATATAGGAACACTGCAAGCATGTCTCCCCTAGTCCTCCTTTTCATTAGACTAGACATACCCAATTCCTGCAACCATTCTTTATATGTTCTAGCCTCCAGTCCCCTCATCACGTTTGTTGCTCTACTCTGCACTCTTTCAAGAGTCTCCACATTTTTTTTTTTTTTACATCGTGGCGACCGAAACTGGATGCAGTATTCCAAGTGTGGCCTTACCAAGACATTATAAAGTCGTATTAATACTTGAGTACTAAGAGTACTAACTCTGTTTTTATTGTAAGGATACATTAACAGAAACTTGCAAGTCTCAACATACATTTTCCCATCACCCCTTTACAGTCCAAAAATCTGGGAAGGGTCCCTCCTTTGATTCCTCCATTATTTCTGCAAACAGCTACCTCTCATCTAAATGTCTGTGGAGCTTCTCAATCATCCAATTCATGGTTGCCCCAAAAGCAAAGGTGCTCTTTCAAAAGGCAACTGGACTTTGCTTTTCCTTGGACATTTCGCTTTTCATCCAAGAAGCTTCTTCGGTTCTGACTGAATGGTGGAGGGTGGAAGGATTTATATTCCTTGCAGTCATCTGGTCATTAGCACTCTCTCTGGGAGTCAGACTGCTTCTTATCTAATTGTCTCGTCTGCAGCTCTTCCTCCTGTCTCCCAAGGCCATTCCCCCATACCATTACATCAATGACAATTTGTTTTTTTAATACGTGTATTTTAACAGTTGGCTTGGAGTAATGTGGAAGGTAGGTCGATAGAAGGACTAAATCAGTAACTGGATAGGTAATATAGTTGATTTCTTTCTTGAAATTTTCTCAAGCTGGTCAAAGACCACCATAAATATAGACTTAGTCTGGGGGACTGTCTTATCTGATTTTGGAGAAGAATATGGAGCTTTAGAGCAAGGAGCCAGGGGCAACTAGTTGATAATTCCTCTAGGGCTGGCTCCACTATGTAGTAGAGTGAAATCTGCTTCAAGATCTTCAAGTGGATGTAATAAATCAGGGGTCCCCAACCACCGGTCCGTGGACCGGTACTGGTCCGTGGAACAACTCCTACCGTGCCACTGGCTTGCTGGGCGCCGCCATCTTTTTTTGATGAAAACGTGCTTCCGGTGAGGTCACCGGAAGCACTTTTTCATCAAAAAAAGATGGCGGCGCCCAGCTGATGCTGGTACCGGGCCGCGGCGCCCAGCTGATGCCGGTACCGGGCCGCGGAGCCCAGCTGATGCCGGTACCGGGCCGCGGCGTCAAAAAGGTTGGGGATCACTGTAATAAATGACATGAAATGTGAAAAGGGAAGCAAAGCATGGCTGTTCTAGACAGGTCAGGAATGGGACATCATGTGGACTCTAAGCCTAGAAGTCAGAGGTCAACCCTGATCTACCATATCTTACCAAAATATTGTGAGTCTTTGCAAAAAGGATAAGGCAGGGGGGTCAAACTCTAAGGCCCAAGGGCCAAATCCACCCCATGGGGTGCTTAGATCTGACCCATAGGGCCACCCTGGAAACAGCAAAGGGCTAGTCCACAGTGCCTTTGCTAGAGAAAACGGAGCTCAGGAGGGCCACACACACCCCTCCCCCGAGTTTTTCATTGGCTAGTAAATCAAACTAAAAGCAAAACAAAAGGAGAGATGTTTCCCCTTTTGCATTGGAGCATGCAAGAAGGGACAGGAAAGGAAAAAGGGAAAGAAGGAAGACAACAAAAAAGATGGGAAGAGAGCAAGGGAGGAAAAAGAAGGAAAGAGGGAAGGGAAGAAGAAAGGAGACGGAAGAAGGAAAAAGAAGAGGAAGGAAGGAAGGAAGGAGGATAATGAAGAGGGAAGGAAAAAGAAGAATAGGTAGGTAGGTAGGTAGGTAGG